ATTTCTATGAAACATGGTATCTAGGGGTTTTTGGCCTCGCTGATTACGAATCAGAAATTCTTTTTTGAACTACTTTTAGCATTACCCAGGAGCAACGACGTGGACGTAATAGCTTTTTGTTCCCATTGAGGTGCTTTATTAAAAGTGAGTCTCCTTACCTCTCACTTTTCGGGAGGTTTTTGCTGTGAGTCTCCTTGCCTCTCACAATATCGGGAATTTTTTGCTGTGAGTTCCCTTGCCTCTCCCAATATCGGGAGTTTTTTGCTGTGAGTTCCCTTGCCTCTCACAATATCGGGAGTTTTTTGATATAAGTTCCCTTGCCTCTCACTTTTCGGGAGGTTTTTGCTGTGAGTCCCCTTGCCTCTCACAATATCGGGAATTTTTTGCTGTGAGTTCCCTTGCCTCTCACAATATCGGGAGTTTTTTGCTGTGAGTTCCCTTGCCTCTCACAATATCGGGAGTTTTTTGATATGAGTTCCCTTGCCTCTCACTTTTCGGGAGGTTTTTGCTGTGAGTCCCCTTGCCTCTCACAATATCGGGAATTTTTTGCTGTGAGTTCCCTTGCCTCTCACAATATCGGGAGTTTTTTGCTGTGAGTTCCCTTGCCTCTCACAATATCGGGAGTTTTTTGATATGAGTTCCCTTGCCTCTCACTTTTCGGGAGGTTTTTGCTGTGAGTCCCCTTGCCTCTCACAATATCGGGAATTTTTTGCTGTGAGTTCCCTTGCCTCTCACAATATCGGGAGTTTTTTGCTGTGAGTTCCCTTGCCTCTCACAATATCGGGAGTTTTTTGATATAAGTTCCCTTGCCTCTCACTTTTCGGGAGGTTTTTGCTGTGAGTCCCCTTGCCTCTCACAATATCGGGAATTTTTTGCTGTGAGTTCCCTTGCCTCTCACAATATCGGGAGTTTTTTGCTGTGAGTTCCCTTGCCTCTCACAATATCGGGAGTTTTTTTATGTGAGTTCCCTTGCCTCTCACTTTTCGGGAGGTTTTTGCTGTGAGTCCCCTTGCCTCTCACTTTTCGGGTACTCTATAAAATACATACCATGTAAGGGTTTTTGGCCTCGCTGATTACGAATCTAAAGTCAGTTCTCGAAAATTCAAAATGGCGGATCCAATATGGCGGACAGATTTTAATTTTATTAAGGATTTCTATAAAACATGGTATGTAGGGGTTTTTGGCCTTGCTTATTACGAATCTGAAGTCAGTTTTTGAAAATTCAAAATGGCGGATCCAATATGGCGGACAGATTTTAATTTTATTAAGGATTTCTATAAAACATGGTATGTAGGGGTTTTTGGCCTTGCTTATTACGAATCTGAAGTCAGTTTTTGAAAATTCAAAATGGCGGATCCAATATGGCGGACAGATTTTAATTTTATTAAGGATTTCTATAAAACATGGTATGTAGGGGTTTTTGGCCTTGCTTATTACGAATCTGAAGTCAGTTTTTGAAAATTCAAAATGGCGGATCCAATATGGCGAACAGATTTTTAAACAGAACTAGATTTTTATGAAACTTGGAATTTTCAATCTTCTTCAGTCGCTGAATAAGAATCAGAAATTCTTCTTTGAACTACATTCAGCGAAATCCTTAATAAAATGAAAATCCGTCCGCCATATTGGATCCGCCATTTTGAATTTTCGAAAGCTGACTTTAGATTCGTAATCAGCAAGGCCAAGAACCCCTAGATACCATGTTTTATAGAAATCCTTAAAAAAAAAAGAAAATCCGTCCGCTACATTGGATCCGCCATTTTGAATTTTCAAAAACTGACTTCAAATTCGAAATCAGCGAGGCCAAAAAGCCCTAGATATCAAATTTCATACGAATCCTACAAACAGTTTGTAAAGTACCTCTTACCCGCCCCCCCAAAATTTGTAGGGGCGATTTCTACCCCAAAATTCGTTTTTGGGGAAAAACAAAAAACTACGTGTCTAATAGTTTTTGAAGAACTACTTGTATGCGCAGTTTCAGGAAAATCGGTAATTATCACTTCCCTAGTGTTACTTGTTAGTATGATATTTTTATAAGGGTACAGTGGCATTTCCTTCCTCTCGCCGCGCACCGGCAGTTATTTGTATAACAACAGTCGAAAGTAGCTGCCGGCGTGCGGCGACAGGAAAAAAATGTCATTCTAGCTGAACGCTAATTCGTCTGATGTATTTTATGGATAACTCGGTAATTCTTACAATTTTTGCAAAATATTAGACTTTTTGTTTATCTCAATCAGTCATATGCCTCCAGAGTTATGACTCTATGAGTTACCAAATATTCTGTATATTTACCATCAGCATCGGGTAAATATTCATTACACATGTGACCAAAATATTTGCCGACGTTCCTCTGCATTTGTCATATGATCTGGAGCTTTATTATATATATGTGTTACTTGATTATTGTGGAGTAAATGAAAGAAACAATAATTGAAATTAAAAACACAAGTATTATCGAAGTTTTTAATTTAATGAAACATATTTTCAATTTACATAAATGTTAACTTGATCTTAAGAAATAATTTTTTTTGCATTAAACAATGAGTTATTAGAGGATAGTAATTGTTTTTTAAGATCAATGAAATATTTTGTACAAACAAATATTTAAAATTTATATGAACATTGAAATGTAGCAAATTTTTTTTTTTTAAATGACTAAATGTTTTCTTTATAATAGTAAATCCTTTTATATAGTCAGACGTCTTCAAGAGTCCTAAGATTTCTAAGTATTCGCTGCGTACTTCTCGATTGATGATGTTAGGAAGTAAAAACATAAGCAAGCAGATTGTATTTCACAATTTTATTTTATAATAAAGCATAGTTATAAATAAGTACAGTAATAAATAAAAATACATTTTTTTAACAGAAAAATACCAATGTACTTTAAAAACTTATTCTAATTGGTGGTTTATTAATCACCATTAAATATTATTAAGCCACCAATTAGAATAAGTTTTCAAAGTACATTAGTATTTTTCTGTTAAAAAAAAATGTATTTTTATTTATTACTGTGATTTATTTATAACTATGCTTTATTATAAAGTAAAATTGTGAAATACAATCTGCTTGCTTATATTTTTACTTCCTAACATCATCAATGGAGAGATACGCAGCGAATACTTAGAAATCTTAGGACTCTTGAAGACGTCTGCCTATATAAAAGGATTTACTATTATGAAGAAAACATTTAGTTATTTAAAAAAATAATTTGCTACATTTCAATGTTCATATAAATTTTAAATATTTGTTTGTACAAAATATTTCATTGATCTTAAAAAACAATTACTATCCTCTAATAACTCATTGTTTAATGCAAAAAATTATTTCTTAAGATCAAGTTAACATTTATGTAAATTGAAAATATGTTTTATTAAATTAAAAACTTTGATAATACTTGTTTTTAATTTCAATTATTGTTTCTTTCATTTAAATAAAGCAATTACTTTCTTGTAATAACTGTTTATTTAAAGTTAAAAATCATTTTTTACACATTCAAATTCTCATTTATTTCATTTAAAGCACTTTTTTCTTCAATTTTAATACTTCCGAAATATGTTTTCTTATATTTAAAAAATGTTTTTTTTTTGTAAGTAATTCATTTCTTTTGTCTTAAAAACTGGATATTTTAGCAAATAAGCAATGCTTACTTTCAAAAAAAATTTTTTTTTATTTTAATATTTCTTTTCTTATTGTTAACAACCATTTTTTTCCTTCAAAAAAGTTTTTTAAAATCTACGAACCGCTCTTTTAAATTAACGAAGGATATTTCTTTCGTTCTAATAAATATTTTTTTAGGAGTATTTCAAGGAAATTATTTTTTTAAATCAAATAACATTTTTTTGAATATTACAAATTTTTCTTTCAGTGTACAGACGTGTGATGGGCGCCCTATTTGAAGGAGCGCGTAACCGGACATGGACAAAAGCGTTGGCGTGGCAGTTGAAAAAACTGACAACTGCTTTAGTGGGAGCGGATTGGAGGTCCCAGTTTGTGCGGGCACACCACGAGCCCGGGGAGGCCTCAAGACTAGTTCGCCTAGCCACGCTGGCGATTAAATCCTGGATATGAAACGGCGAAGCATTCCTTGACGATGAAGAGAAGAGGACGGAGTCCTCGGCTGGCGCCGAAGTGGAGCGGTCCCGTAAGGTACAACACAAAGGAAACTTCGTATTAGGATTATATACCGCCCGAATGGGCGCGCAACTTTGCACCAAACGGGTCTGCCCATTCTGCGTCTACTCTGAAGTCGCGGAGGAGCAGTGCCACCCTATCAACCTAGACAAATCCAACGAAAGCACACGTTGGCGGGATATGAATCTCCGCGAACTACATCGCTATGTGCGACATGTAAGGGTCGGGAGAAGGTCAGGCGGAGGCCATGGCTGAAATCCACAACCGTGAGATGCACGCAAAAAACGGGAACATTATAGGAAAGGTCATGTTACAGGAAGCCCGTAAACGTGAAGATGCCATCTTGCGTGATTGTAATGAGGCGTGGGACTTGCCCGGGATATGGGCTATTACAAAAGAGTCGGCAGAGGAGGTGCTCAACAAAGCGGAAAAATACCTAGAACACGCTTCATTTTGTGACGCCAACCACGGATTACATGCTACATACGTAGCGGCGGGTACCCTCCACGAGCATGCAGGCCTCAGACTTATACAGTTCCTGGAACTAAGGAACGCAGTGACCCAAAGCGCAAGCGCTGCCAGGTGAAGCCACGCAGTGGGGGACGTGGATACAAATTATCTCACTTCCTCCCTGAGAGGGGGGAAGAAATACGGAAATGACGGGTGCATTAAGTCCAGCACTCTAAGGCGGGGTAACCAACCTCTGCAGGATAAGCCACCGCCCCAGGAGAAAGGTGGGGCCCCGAAGACGTCATCTACCCCATCGAACGGCAATAGTGGCACTGTCGATGGGAACACAGTAGCCCGAAGTGACAATTCTGGAAGCCTCAGCAGTGAGGAGGACATTGGAAGGGACTGGTTTGCTATTGGGTATGACCGTAACAAGCACCATGGGAAAATGATCCCCACCGACAGTATATCCCGAGCTGCTAAGGATCCCGAGGATAGAAGTGGGGTTATATAGATGAACAAGTCCCGTACCATATACAACTTTGTGTTTGGCGGGGTCGCCACGGCGGACTGGCGTGAACTCGGGATACGTGTCTCTCTCTACGATGACCTTAGAGAGAAAAGGTTCACGCAACCCACAGGGGTCGACTGGGCCGTGGCGAAGAAAGACGAATCACACCTTGAATATGTCTCCACCCAGGGGGATGCTTCCGCGCTGCCTGTGTTAGTTGGCGTTACCTCGATGTGTATATGCGGAACGTCCAGAGAGTAAGAGTGGAGGCGGATATGGACGAAGTGTGGGACCTCCACTCAGACGAGGTGGTTACAATAGTCCTGGGGGATGAATCACCGCAAGCCGGGTGCGGGCGGGATATCTGGATACTTTCCCATCTCGACTACCTCGTGTACGAAAAAAATTTCCATTGCAAATTATATAGAAAGTTCACATATTAGATAACATATTCTTCAAAACAATATTCGTAAACTGCATTTATGCGTAGAACATACTTTTCTAAAAAACTCTTTCTTTGATTCACCCAGTACACAAGCGGTTTGAAGAATTCATTAGAAAAGCAGCGAAAGCCTATTTCGGAGAGAATGCGAATATCGGCAACGTGGCATTCACATTTACGTAACGTCTAGTGTAAGAAAATTTAAATGACAACATAGCACACATACTTGCATAACATCTGTGAAGGAACGATATATGAAAAAATACTGCGGCGCAACGGTAGCACGAACATGTTCACGCTTATCAAATGTGACATTTTGACGATCGTCTTCGTTCCGTATAGATATATAAGTAGGTATAGTACAGAGATTCTAACCCAGGTACTCTGAGGAGGGTGCGGGGCGAGAGGAACTGCGGGAGCGAGGGCTGATGTCACGCGGGAGAGAGGACTTACCGACGTTACCGACATTTTTTTTACCGGCATATTACCTGTATTTTTACCCACATATTTATTTTTTTACCAACATATTTATTTTTTTTACCAACATATTTATTTTTACCAACATATTTATTTTTTTTTACCGACATATTATTACCA